TATATATATATATATATACATATCTATACAATTTTCAATTTTATTTTTATTTTTAGAACGTTTCTTCTCCAGAATTTAAAAATTTTTGTGTATCTTATGACATATATTTATTTTTATACATTATTATTTATACAATCTTTTAAATTATGATTTTAGACTATTTATATTTGTTTCATTGGTCAGTCAATTGCTGTAACTCTAAGCCTTTGTATTGCGCTTTTTGCGGTCACTCTATAAGCAACTGTGTCGATGACCATCAAGTGTTTTGTAATTACATCACTCTATAAGACAACCGTCTGTAATGTATCTATAATTTTACGTTCACATATCGACGCATTTTTACAATCATATGTCCACAACGATATTTTTACACTACTATGAATTTTATATATTACAATTTTTGGCAGAATCATATGTTTCGTTAAGTTCTTGTCATTAAAATTGATTGTTATTGTCGTTAATTTTAAATTGCGTTTAACATTGAGAATAACCCAATAGAGATCGAAACGTATGTTATAATAAACTGTTTGTTTTTTTCTCAGTTTTTTTAAACACAACGATTTTAATAACACAACATTAAGATCTTGCTTGGCTGTAGTCCTATTCTTATTATATTGATTTTATAAATTATTTGAGCCTTAGTTCTAATTATTTCTAATTTAATCAATCTTGAAATGTATGTATAAGACAGCAAGCTTTGGAAACATTCTTCGATGAAATAAATAAAAATTATTAGATTGATATATTATATTTATGAACAGCGATATGTTAATTTATTAAACAATAATTTTCTAAAATTTATTATATATGTATACTGAATTTTTATTCAAAATATTATACAATATCTTTTTTTAAATTTATTATCTTGCGATGAATATAAAATTATTATTAGTTATTACATTTTTGAATAACACATTTTATGTATAATCAAGGTTATTTAAAGTATAATATTAATACTATTAATTAGATAAATTATTAATGTAAACAATAAAGTACTGCGTAATAAGGTATCAATTTCATCAATAAAGTAATAAAAAATATTGGATGGATACATATTAAATTTATTATGAGTAACACATTTATTGTATATATCGAATTTCTACATGAGATATAATATTCTTTTATAATTTATTACTTTTGTTGAAAAATAGATAATATAAAATAATTATTGCGCTTTTGAATAATTTTCATAATATGTTATTTACAAGGCTATTTAGAAGATAATACTATTAAATTTCATTAATAACACAGCCACACAAAAAAATTTGTTGATCTGGAGAGAAGTCCATGATATTCTTATATATTTTGAAACTTTGAAAAAACCAAAAAACACATTAAATGTTCAAATTGCTCTATAACGTCACAACTTTTTATTATATATAATATATAATATATATATTGTTATATTTATTGTTATATTTATTTTATTATTAAAAATTCATTTTTACACTAAAAATAAAAATAAAAGAAACGATCTATCTTGACATATGTTATCAAGATCGTGATTATGAACATTATTTAAAAGATAATATTCAAAAGATTTTAATTATCAGACACTTTAAAGAACTCTAATGTTGGCGATATTGTAATTTCCAAGTCATAACTTGGAAAGTTCTTATTGAAAAATAATTTTATAATAATGTTTTAAAAAGTTCTTGATCGATTTTACAGAAAAACAGCAATAGAAAATTGTTTATTTTCTTCTCATAAAGTTCTGAGAATTTTTTCAGAATTCTTAATACTGTACTTTCTCATGTTGATAAAAATAAGAAAATGCAATACTAAAAAGTTGATAAAAAATTCTGAAAAAATTTGTAACTCGGATTCTCATATAGACAACAGCATTTTGACACAGAGCGCTGATAAATGAAAAGTCGGTTGTGGAAGTAAAATTTACCTCCGATTATGAAGTTGGTAGTAAATCTTTCCTTGAGATCGATTCTGTATCTTCAAATAAGATGAAAATTACAAAAGTGAACGAACTTACTAGAATACTGATTGAATTTCATTGGTCAACACCTAGTAAATTTGCTCACTTTTGTAATTTTCATCTTATTTGAAGATATCAGAATCGACTCCCTTGTGCAAGACATTATTTAAGATGATTTTAAAATAAGAACAGATTATGATTACCCCCCATGTTTCGCGTTTCATAGTTAGTAGCCTTTCCGCACTGACGACAAGGAGCAAAAGTAGGTGTGATTTAGCCGAACTGCACATATCACGTAATCCTTCCACCACGCTCCTGACTTTAAAGAATATACTACTGTCTTCCCTTTCTCCTGAAACATAATTCGATTAATAGAATAATAGTAGAAAAAGAGTTCTGCGCCCAAACATTCACTCATAATATCTCTAGCCACAGTATAAGTACATACAATATTTTGACAGATACTGAACTTTTTATGTGGTCCCCAATGTTTCATGCGATTTCCAATCAGGAATGTGGCCTTCAGCAAGTTGAAATTACAGGTTAGATTAGCTACATCTTCTTTCCATAAAATATAATTAACCCTTTCGCCTACAATATTATGTGAGACTCGTGGTAAAGAAATCGTGCCAAATATGAGTATTACGGGTGAAAGCCGTGATACGTTCGTACAAAGCTTAATTTTTTTTTAATTTGTAAAAGTATGGCAAAGGGTTAATAAAATTAAGTTTTACTAAAAAATTAAATCAAATTTTTTCGGAGACGCTATATTGTGTAGACTGTTATATTTGTATACGCTAAAGTATTCTCGTAAAATAAAGTGTGTGTATGTGTGCGTGCGTGCGTGCGTGCGTGCGCGTGCGTGCGTGCGTGCGCGTGCGTGCGTGCGTGCGCGTGCGTGCGTGCGTG